TGTAAATGAATAACAACTGATCCTTACAAACTGGCATTGTATAGAAACTGAGAAAATGTTTTTGCTCTCTTTCTTTTGCACGATGGGTAATGTTGCAGTTCTTTGTGTTTTCAGGCTGTGCTGTGAGGCAAGGCTAAGCTGGCACTGACCCCTCAGACCATTTTACACATTTCCTCTTCTAGAAACTTATATTCTAAAAAAAATCACTGGGCTTTAATGGCTGCCAATGTCCAGAACGTTTACCAGACATCCATTAATGAAGCTTTAGGCCCTTACTAAGGGCAACAGCCTCAACTTTCTCAAATATGTGTCTGCCTCTCTGATTCTTCAAGTCAGTGGGAGTCTGGAAGGGTTGTAACTGGTGGTGAGAGTTGTCAGGTATGGTGAGCTCAGAGCCAGTGGACAGCCTGGGGAATGGGGATCCTCCATCCTCAGTGCTACGAGAGATGGAGCACCAGCCAGCCATTGCCTGCAGGTTGGCACCCCTTTGGGATGTGGACCATTTGCAGGTTGTACTCACTTAAAGTCAACAATTGCCAGTAAAGTCTATTGGGATCTTAACTACATTTTTTGGATGCAAAAGTGGAGATTTATAAAGAGGTGAAATAGCTTGTCCAAGATCACATAAGTAGAAAGCATTCAGGTTGGGATTTGAATCCAGGAAATCTGACCCCATAGCTGGTCCCTCACTCACTAGTGACACTGCCTAGCCTTGGGGGCTGGGGCTATGGGCAACAGCTTGGCCCCAGGGGGCCAGTGCAGTAAACCGTCCCCATTCCCTTTTTCAGACAACTTTGTTTCAGAGGTTCTCACTACATATATGAACTGATACCTTTCTCCTGAGCATTCCATTGATCTCACCGTACCAGACTAGTTATTTTGAACTGAGGTTCACAGGAAGTTGTAAAGCTGAAACAGGTTCTGTGTACTCTTCACCCAGCTTTCCCAGTTGTAACTACGGTACAATGTCTGGACTTGCTTCCAGCACCTAGGGTCTGAGCTGAGAGGTGAGTGGTGCAACCCAAGCTCTGAGCCAGGCTTTCCATTGCAGGGGAGTCCCTGTCTCGCCCGGGGTGAATTTAGCCTTAAAGTGGAGTCAATCAACTGAACTGTAGGTTTCCTCTGCACTGGCTCAGCTTCCAGCATTTGAGTCAATTTTCAGCTGACTGGGACCAAACTGGGATCTAGGTTTCTGTGGCGGCTTTCCACTTGATGCCCAGGGTGGTGGCATTTATCTGTCCATTTGCTTGCATACTTACAGTTTGCTGGGTGCTGCGTCCAGGGCTTGAAGTCTGCAGGGAGCTCACAGGCTCCTTGTTCTCTGAATGGTGGGAAGATGCAGGTCACCTAATATCTGTGTGTGTCCACAAGAGCAGCAAGGAGACAATGAGGAACTCTTGGAGCATTCTGCTTGTCCAGGAATGAGGAGGCTGCCAGTAGACAAGAAAGGAAAAGATGTGCTAGGTGGAGGAACAGGAGTGTCCGTTCTGGGGACAGCAAGTGCATTCTGTGAAGCGGGGGAGGGGTGGCTTCCTCCCGTTTCCTCTTGGCAGAGCCTGTCAGTCACTGGACTCACTGGACAGATGCTCATGCATCCAAGGCAGCCATGATGAGCCCTTAGGCCTGTGAGTCCTGGGGGATGAGAGCGGCTGGTCACGTGGCTGCCATCCTGTATGTCAGCACTTCCCAGCTGTGACCCCAGCCATTTGAGAGCCCTTTAGTAGGGTTGACTTTGGCTAGAATGGTGTCTTGAGAGCCTCCTAGGATGAATTCATAATGCATGCTGAGTGGAGCTGACGTGTAGGGAAGGGCGATTGAGGAAGTTCATTTTCTGCCGGAGGATGTTTGCCAAACGCAGTAAGATTAGTTGTAGTGTAGCTGATGCTGCGGAGAAGGCACTGGCGACCCACTCCAGTACTCTTGCCTGGAAAATCCCATGGATGGAGGAGCATGGTGGGCTGCAGTCCATGGGGTCGCGAAGAGTTGGACACGACTGAGCGACTTCACTTTCACTTTTCACTTTCATGCATTGGAGAAGGAAATGGCAACCCACTCCATTGTTCTTGCCTGGAGAATCCCAGGGATGGCGGAGCCTGGTGGGCTGCCGTCTGTGGGGTCACACAGAGTCGGACACGACTGAAGCGACTTAGCAGCAGCAGCAGCAGCTGATGCTGAGCTGCTCTGAAAGTAATTTCACCAGTGGTTTCAGCTGCTTCCCAGGTCATCACTGGGGGCCATTTATGGTGTCATCGGCCTGGAGCAGGAAGCTCGTCCCTGGTCTCGGGCATCCTGTTCTTTCAGCCACTGTGAGTCAGTTCAATGTAAGTTTAAAGAAAAGAGGCCTGGGGACGTCCTTGGTGGTCCAGTGGCTAAGACTCTGTGCTCCCAATGCAGGGGCCCCAGGTTTGATCCCTGGTCAGACAACCAGATCCTGCATGCTACAGCTAAAAAGTCCTACATGCCTCAAAGACTACGGAAGACCCCTCATGTAGCAACTAAACCCTGGCACAGCCAAATAAAAAAATATTAAAGAGAGAGAAGAGGCTTGGCTGCAGACCTGTTCTGTCACACGTTATTGGGATTTCTTCCATTAAAGTTCTCATCTGCCCCTGATTTCAGTGGAAGTGGTCTGATGCTGGCTTTGAAGAGGCCTCGGCAGCCTGGTGACAGGCTTGGTGCTCACAAGTTCAGGGTTGCAAGTTGATGAAAGGAGGATGAATAATGAAAAATAATGGGTCATTCTAAGAGGCACCTTTTCAGAACTGGGCTAGGGTATAATTTGGGTCCATCTCAAGGGAAGTAGACTGGCGGAATTCATCAGAGTAGCCCCTCAAGGACTGATAGCCATTGTCTGGGGACAGTCCAATCAGTCACTCTGACTGGCACATCTGGGGTTGAAACCCTGAAGCAGGGCTTTGAAGTGATGGGGTGTAGACTGCTCACCTGGCCGTCTACACTGCAACAGGAGTGGAATACATGTCTGTTCCTCTATGGCGAGGCGGGCTCTGAGGGCACAGTGGCCTCAAACAGCGCCCGACACTTGCCCTGAGTATTCTGTGTTACAGGGGACGCAAACGAGACCTTTTCAAACAAGCTCAGGAGAGAGGCGGGGCACTGGGAGGAAGGGTGTGGAGTGTGCAGCCACAGGGTTCCTCTAGTTCTACCTAAACACTGTCTCGGGACTTGCCTGGAGGTCCAGTGGCTAAGAATCCTTGCGATGCAGGGGACGTGGGTTTGATCCCTGGTCAGAGAACTAATAAGATCGCACATGATGCAGAGCAACTATGCCTGCAGCTACTGAAGCCAGTGTGGTCTACAGCCAGTGGACAGCAACGACTGAGCCTGAGAGTCCATGTGACATAAGGATCCCACGGGCCACAACTAAGGCCTAATGCAGCCAAATAAATATTTAGAAGAACAACAACAAAACACCATCTCTCGACCGTAGCTTAAACACACAGAAGTGTCCATCTTTGTCACATTTGGGTCATTACCTTCTTTCCCAGCTCCACCCCCACTCTCCCCTGCTCCCCCAGTCCCTCCCCCACCCCCAGTTTTGGAGACCGCTGCTGCTCCCAAGCACCTGCTTTTCTCTGCCTGCCTGCTGGATTCTTTTACCCTCCAGGCCCAATGCCCCCTGAGAGAGGAGGGCCCCTGGCTGGCACCCAGCTTCCAGGGCGGGGGCTGGGAGCAGGACTGTCAGGTAAGAGGGTACGGAAACTGCCACAGCCATGATCACCCCATCGTATCCCCACTTCATGCCCCCACCCAATCTTGAGTGTGGTGTGAGAAAGATGCATGGCCGGCAGGATACTGGACGATTCCAGCCACTGTGTCTGATTGCCGCTTGAAGGATTATTTCAATAACTTTGTTGGAACTACTTCTACTTCGTGATGATATTGTGCAAACCTAGAGAAAGGGGGGCCAAAATAAACACCTGGAAATGAAAACCCTGGGATGACCCTAAGTGGAGAAGCTGCTGGTGGTCTGAGAAGGACCGCCCTCAGTGAGGCCTCTGACCCCCATCTTTGCCCTGCATCGGTGGAAGGGGCAGTGGTGAATAGTCCAGGGACCTGGGGTGGAGGCCCTCCCGTCGCCCAAAGCTGAACTCCCAGCAGCCTCACCGTGACAGCCCTCCCGCTCCCAGGTCGGGGCCCCTTCCTGTCTCCTCTGCCTCCTGGCCCACCAGCACCTGCCACCTGTCCTTGGAGAAGCTTTGCTAATGTTTGTGAGTGAGTGACGGACAGGCAGAGGCTAGCCTTGCCTCACAGGGCATTAGTAATTGGAACTAATAGGAAGCCAGGCTCCCTTCTGTAGCCCCTCACAAACCCACCCACCTTATCAGGACCCTCTGGTGGTTGATCCTGGAGACTGATTCAGACCCACACCGCTGGGCCAACCAGCAGCCAAGTGCTCCAGTGTAGGGGGTGGAGGTTGGTTGGGGCGGGAACCTCCTCCCACCATTCAGGCTTCCTGCTGAGCCTCCTCCTGAGCTTTTCTGGCCCCACCCTCCCTCCGCAGCTTGGCTATTCGGGAGCTGAAGAACCGGAGGTTTAGAGAAATTAAGGCGTTTGCCCAGGGACCCACAGCCAGGGACGCTGGGATTTGAACGCAGCGCTGCGCCGCCCGGCTTCCTCCTCCTTTCCCCTCGGAGGCAGCTTGGCGATCACAGACAGGTGGGAGTTCCTTGTGCACCCGAGGGGCACCGCTCCCGGAAGAGCCCACCTGCTGCTCCTGCTCCCCATTCCCGGGCCCCCTCCCCGGCCCTGCTCCCCAAACCCCCGCCCACCCCCACCCCACCCCGTGCCCCTTCCCTAGACCTACTCCCTCAGTAACCCTGAACCCCTTCTCTTGAGACTCTCTCGGGTCTCTCCGCTCCCTAAGTCCCGGCTTCCTGCGCTCCCCCCATACCCCAGCCTCCAGCTGCCCCTCACCTCCTGGCTCCCTCCGCTCTCCTGCATCCCACTTCGCTCGGCTCTGGTCCTGGTACCCTGACCGCATGGCCCGGCTGGGCGCTCTGCTCCTGGCCGCTGCCCTGGGCGCGCTGCTCAGCTTCGCGCTGCTGGCCGCCGCCGTGGCCAGCGACCACTGGTACCTCCTGGAGGTGGCGGACGCCGGCAACCACAGCGGCCACGGGCAGCTCTCCTCCCACTCGGGGCTCTGGCGCATCTGCGAAGGTACCGGCTGCCCCTCCCCCACGCGACCCTTCCCTCCAGACTCAGGGGGCCGCACCGCCCCCCCCCCCCGGCCGCGCTGAGAAGACGCCCCTCCCCCGCCTGTCTGCCCCCAGGGGCACCCCTTCCCCGCAACTCTCTCCGCGACGGTCTGGCTGGAGGGGGGCTCAACGCCCACCCTCCAAGGGCGGGAAGTGAGAAGGAAAGGACCCCAAGAACTTTCCAGAGCAGGATCCCTCCACAGGCCTGTGGCCTCAGCCTCTGCTTTCCAGAGCAGGATCCCTCCACAGGCCTGTGGCCTCAGCCTCTGCTTTCCAGAGCAGGATCCCTCCACAGGCCTGTGGCCTCAGCCTCTGGGGGCCGGTCTTGTGTTCCAAGCAATGGCACGTCACTTGGCAGGTAGCAGGACATCTCTGCGTGACCTGGGACCGTCCCTCAGCCTCATTGGTCAGATGGGGAGAAAAGGAGGCCTCTGGAGACGCGGGACTCGGGGTGGGAGGAACGGGCACGCTGGGTGCTCAGCTGCTGTGCTTGTCACTCATCTGCAGGGGCCCCGGGCTGAGGTGGGAGCTGGTGGGGGTGGGGAAGCCTGGGGTTGGGGAGCTGGGGCCCTGGCACGACCCGGGTTCCTCATCCCAGTGACCCGGAGTCGTTTCCTCGTTTCTGTCCAGGGCTTGGTCTGGTCCCTGCTCCCTGTCAGACACAGCCAGGGCTGTGGGTAGGGCCCCTGATCCCCACACCCCCTGGCCTGGCACAGGGCCGAAAACAGGAGCGCCACGTGGCTTCAGACCTGAATGCAGAGAGGCACGGGCTCTGTCCCGTCTAGGGAGGGGTGGGCTTCCACACACTCCTCAGCTGGGGGCCTCACCAAGCTGGTACCAGCCTGGGGGCTTCCCCTGCGCAGGACATGCCCAGGGTGGCAGGGATGTGTGGGAGCATGTGTAAATGTGTGTGTGTGAGACAGAGAGAGAGACAGTGCCTTCCTCAGAGCTCCCGGGGAGGAAGGAGAGCCCAGTTTATTCAACACCCCCCCCAACAGACAGCCTCAGGCTCCAAGCGTTCATGACTTGTGCATGTGTGTGTGCCCTAGTATGCAAGAGCCAGAGAACCCATATTGCATGCCCCTTTCTCATGCAGGCATAGCCTGGCCTCCACGTGTGAGCAGGCCCAAGGGGGCCCTGAGGGCATCCTCTCTGCAGTGTTTGAAATTTTTCAACAGGCCTCCATGTAGATATTATTTGCACATCATATAAACAAAATGAAAGGTCTTGAGCCCTCCAAACCCATTTGAGCCCCAGTTCTGAGTTCCAGGGGAGAAACTGACAGGGCCCTTGGCCCCGGTGGAGGGTGGTGAGTGCCGGCAGGCCACCCATCTCTGAGAAGCACGGGGGTGGGGTATACCCAGCAATGTCCAGCCCACCAGGCTGTGCGTTCTTTCTACTTTGTAGGGCACAACAGCTGTATTCGCCTGATCGACCCCTTTGCCAGTGAGAGCCTGGACGCCTCCACTTCAGTGCAGCACCTCATCTGTGAGTGCTGGGGTGGGAGCACCCTCCTTCCTTGACCTCCAGGCAAGGCTCAGAGTCCCTCCTCCTAGACCCACAGAACTGCTTCCAGCTAGACCCTGCGTTGCCCAGAGGACATTTCCATAGTTGCCTGAGAACTTCTCCTGACTGGCCTCGGCCCCCAGGCTCTGCTGTTAGCTTATAACCACGGACACTGGACCCCAGCCTGTCTCGCCCTCCCTGTGCCCCTTCTGGATTCTCTTTTATGTTCCCAAATGAGTCTACTCAGTGGGCATCTCTCCCCTGGTGAGTTGAGGGGCACGTGTCTGCTGCCTCTGTGCCAGGACCAGGGGCGGCCCCTGGGAGGGCCGGGTGGTTGCCATGGGGACATCAAGGGAGTCAGATGGTCCAGCTCCTCCTCCGGCCGGGGCCAGGACAGTCCCATGTGCCCTACGAAGGAGGACGTCCAGGCACGCAGGGCTCTGACGTGCTCTGCTGACCCTTCCTCTGGGGCCCGGTCTGGGTCCCGGCCTGGTCCCTGAACCCTCTCTCCCGGCAGCGTTGCACCGAGCCATCTTGGTGGTCCTGCCCCTAAGCCTCGTCCTCATTGTGTGCGGCTGGATCTGTGGCCTCCTCAGCTCCCTGGCCTGGAGCATCTCTCTGCTGCTCTTCATCGGCTGCTACTTCTTGCTGGGGGGTGAGTCCGGGGGCTGTGGGGGCCACAGGTCCTGGGAGTGGGGTGCTGCCTGTCTCACTGACCCAACCCCTGGCTGCTCTGAGCCTAGGCCCACCCTGGGGATTGAGCTGCAGCAGGTGAGGTGCCCTGGGTGGCCCTGGGGCCTTTGGAGGGGCGCGGATGCTGAATGTGAGGCTCGAGCCAGGGACGGGAGTCAGGAGCCCGAGTTGAGCTGCCAGGGGCAGGAGGCACGAGGGTCTCCAAGGTGAGTCCAGTACCTGCCCTGCTGGACCTGCATGAGGGGGGTGGGACCAGCCCACATCCATTTCCCTTTTCTTCCAAGACCATCCCGGTGAGGGGGCAGCATGGGTGGGGGTGTGGCATCACCCAGGCAGGGCTAAGCATTAGACAGGGTGACACGGGGCCTTGGATTCCTTGGCAGTGACCCCAACCGTGCCAGGTCTGGACTTTGACTAGTAACAGTGTGTACACTGACATTCATCTAGCCTGCAGGCACTGGGCCAAGCCCTCCCTCAGGGATGCAGCGACGGACGCAGGCCCTGGGTCACAACTTCCTGCTGAGATGTCGGAGGATTCCCGGAGCTCAGCAGGAAGCTGGTCCTGGAATCCCCATCGCTGCCTTTCGGGGCCATCTGTCCCAGCCAGCCACCTGGTGTCCCCAGCTGCCCAAGGCTGGCCGTCATTGACCATGGGCTGGAGGCTCCTCAGGTCAGTCCTCAGTGGCCCCTCCCATCCAGGGCCAAGGCCTGAGCCACATCTGGCATCCTGGGCCGGCTCCCCTGCCAGGGCTGCGGCAGGGGGACCAGACCACAGTGTCCGGGGCTCCCTCCTGGGCAGGCCTGCCCTCCCCAGGGGTTGCTGGGCCCTTTGGGAGGCCTTGGTCAGGAGGGAGTTGGTGCCAACTGCCAGGGGGCCCAGCAGCCTAGGTGTGTGGTTCAGAGAATGAGAACAGGAGGAATCAAAACATCAGCCCTAGCCTGACCCCAGAGACTGTGTGTGTCCAAAATCCAATTAAGAGGACCTTGGGACACCACTGAGAGGAGTAATTGGGTGGGATTGTAACCAGGAAACCGATGGTGACAGGAAACCTTGGCATTGTGCTTGGAACCAAGGCACCGGGCCAGTGGGCAGAGGGAGAGCCTGGAGGCAGCGCTAGGGTCATTCCGCCTGCTCCAGGGAGGGCAGGCAGTGGGCCGGGTTCCAGGAACACCCCATCTGATCACCTGCGCCGGGCCTGGACTGGCCGCACCTCTGGTTTCTTTGCATGGCAGGCTCCTGGTAGAAACAGATCCCCTGACGTCGCTGTCAGGAGCCTGCCCAGGGGGCTGCAGTGGGGCCAGGGACCCAGCTCTGGGGGCTTGGAGTCAGGACTGTCACACCAAGGGGACCTTTGTGAGGCCAGATCTCCCTAATCCCCCCCATTGTCACTGCAGAAGAGGGAGGGACACGGAGGGTTCTAGGTCGCTGTTGGCTGGGCCCTGAGCTAGGGGCCTGGGGCCATATGGAGCCTGGGGTGATGAGTTCCACGTGGCCATCACCCAGCTCGAGGCTCCAGAGCCAGCCAGGGGAGAGGCCTGAGTCATCTCAGGAGGTCTGAGGTGCAGAAGCGGTCTGGCATGAGGCAGACCTGGGCGCCTCAGTCCCCAGGAAGAGTCAGGTGTTCCAGGTCGGGGTCCAGCTTGGGAGCTTACTCTGGTAGAGCAGCGGGTCCTGCCCAGAGCCAGGCTGGACCGAAGTAGCTGGCAGCTTGAAGAGATGTGCTCAGCTGGTGGGGCAGCCTGGGTGGGAGTGGAGGGGGTGGGACAGGGGGGACTTGTCTGGGAGCTCTGACCACTGTAGGCTGAGACAGACACCTCTGTTTCTGGGGCCTCAGCTGCACAGTTCCCCGAAGAAGCCTGAGAGATGTGTTCAGCACCCCCTCCCCAGTCCCAGAGCCCTGCAGTTGACTTGGCTTCACAGCTTCCCAAAATTAAATCCATAACTTCTGTGGTGGCTCCACCCAGCCCTAGGCTGGTGGAGGCCAGTCCGTCCTTCCCATCATTGGTCAAGTGAGGAATCCCAGAGGACCTGACTAAGAGGCAGGCAGTGTGGGGGTGCCCAGGGTCTGCCCCTTCTCTGGGTCCCAGTGAGATGCAGACCTAGCCCTGAAGGTCTGCCTCGTGCCTTAACTGGGCAGTGTCTGGAGGGAGCGCCATGCACCCAGGAAGTGCCTTAGGGGGTCTCAGGACCCCACCTACATTCCCTGCAGCTGGCATCAAGGGTAGGCCCTGACATCTGCCTGCAGTGGTGGGACGGAGGGTGTTCTGGGCTGTTCCCCCTGAACCTGGGTGGACAGGCAGATGTCCCGGTGCCCAGCTCTTTGCTTGCCCCCGACCCTCCAGGGTCACCGTGCACTAGGCACAAAGCCAGTCTTCTTCCTGCAGAGATGCAGGGCTGGAGGGAGGAGGGTGTCCTCATCTGGGGACGGACCGGGGTCATGGGATCCGAAGGGAGGGCCTGAAACTCAGACCTGGGGAGGGGACAGGGCCTCTGGAAGAGGGACACTGAGCTGGGGTCAGCAGGGGAGGCTGTGGGCCAGTGAAGTGGGGAGGGGGAACTGCGAGGAAGAGGGAGCCGGAGGTGCAGGTCAGGGGCCTGGCTCAGGATGTCTGGCCAGAGCTCCAGAGCTCCTCCCACCCTTCCCGGCGGCCAGTAGAGGTCACCAGCTGTGTGTGTGTGTGTGTGTGTGTGTGTGTGTGTTTGTCTGTGTGTGTGGGGCTGTGTGTGTGTGTGGGGGGGGCTGTGTATGTGTGTGTGGATGTGTGTGTGTCTCTGTGTGTGGGTGTGTCTGTGTGTGTGTGTGGCTGTGTGTGTGTGTCTGTGTGTGTGTGTGTGGCTGTATATGTCTGTGTGTGTGTGTGGGGTGTGTGTGTGTGTGTGGCTGTGTGTGTCTCTGTGTGTGTGTGTGTGTGTGTGTGGCTGTGTGTGTGTGTGTGTGTAACTCCAGGGGTGATGGGAGGGGGCTGTGTATGCAGGGGAATTTATGTGAGTTGGGGGTGTAGGTAGTGCTGTTTGCAAGGGGATTTTGTAGGGCGAGGTCCTGAGGTTTGAGGACTGAGTTGGAGCCTCCATCCTCCCAAAGGCCAGTGGGCAGAGGCCATGTCTACAGGACCACGGTGCCGGGGTCCCAGGTGGGGCCGGCACCCTCAGCAGGCAGAGGCACTGAGCAGCCACTCTGCACCTCCTCTCCAGGCGCCCTGACCCTGGCGGGGGTCGTCATCTTCATCAGCTACTCACAGCTGGCCTTGGCAGAGACAGCCCGCCAGCACGGCCCCCAGCACACGCAGGACGTCCGCATTGGCTTCTGCTGGTCCCTGGCCCTGGCCTGCGGCTCCTGCTCTGCGGGGTCGCTCAGCGGCGCCCTCCTGCTCGCAGCGGCCCGAGCCCTCAGCCTGGGCAGGCAGCCGGGCGCCCGCACTCTGTGGTCATCTGAGTCCCGGGCAGGCAGATGCGGCGAGAGGGGCTCCATTTCCCTTTGCACCTCCTGGGGCTTGGGGTTGCCAAGCCCGGCCCTGAGAGGCCACGGGAGGAGGCTGGGAGCCCTGTTCTGACGGCCGGGCTGGAGACCTCGATGGGAGCCGGGGGACGGGTAGAGCTGAGAATCCAGGCTCCTGTTGCTGGATGTTTGGGGGATTCCCCTGCCCATTGTGCCTTCAAGGACTAACTGGTTTAGCCTCTTCTTAGAGGTGAGAAAGGTGAGACCCAGAAAGTGGGAGCAAAGGGACCAGGGACGATGGCTGTGGTGGTCGAGGGGGCAGGGCGCTGCAGGCTCCTGGCTGCTCAGCGGGTCCCCTTGCCTCTCGAGGCTGTGGCCTGGGTCCCCCCTCCCCACCCGTGCTGGTGGGCCACAGCTGCCCCCAGTCAGGGACCTGCGTCAGGCGGAAAAGCTGCCCCCGTCCTCAGAGGGGGCAGTCCAGAGAGAAGCAGATATCCATCAAACACTCCGTGCCAGGCCCTCACCAGGCCTTCCGTGCCATGTCTGTCCTCCCCCCGCCCCTCCCCAGGGCAGCTGTTGGTGGGGAGGGGACTGAGGACTGGGGGGCCTCTTGGATTTCTGGGTGCAGGGGGAGCAGAGGGGGGTTGGGCACACCTCTGCCCCCCTTGTTTTCAGGTCTCTGTCCTTGTCCTGGGGCTGGTGCTCCGGGACCCCATCCTCATCTGTAGTTCCCAGAGGGATGCCTGTGGTCCCATGTGGGCCCCTGGGCAAGCGGGTGTGGAAGTCCTGTGGGGTGGGGGAGCCATGCCAGGGTGGAGAGTGAGGGGCTTCTCTACCAGGAGGGGCGGCTGCCCGGAGCAGCAGAAGCCAGAGCCTGGAATTTTGGCCGCAGGCTTGTGGGATGGAGGCAGACCCAGGCACAGTGTGCCTCTAAGGGCCAGACAGACGAGAAGGTGGCGGCCCGCCCATGCCTGGTCACCGTGGTCTGTGAAGGCTGAGGCTCCCTCCACTCTGGGCAGGACCTGAAGACCTGCTCAGCGTTGGTCTCAGGCTCAGGGCCCTCGAGTCTGAGGTGTGTGCGGGGGTCCATAGTGGCCTTCCCCCTCTTGGTCTTTCCCCTCCCCCAGTCTCCCTTTATGGCTGGAGGCGGGGTGGTTACAGGAAGCTCGGGGCCACTGGGGGGGCAGGTACCATTTGGGGAGTCCCACTGAGGGATAAAGAGTAGGGGATGGGGGGTGGGAAAGGGGATGTTAAATGCGGGCTTCCCTTCCTACCTGTGTTTTAGCATTTAACATTGTGCCAATGTGTCTATAAATAAATCAGCTTGTTCTGTGTGCAGTTAAACCTTTATTCACTTAAAACCTCTCAGAATAGGGACTTCCCTGGCGGTCCAGTGGTTGAGAGTCTGCCTGTCAGTGTAGGGGACACGGGTTCGATCCCTGGGCCAGGAAGATCCCACACGCCACGGGACAACTAAGTCAGAGCACCACAGCTGCTGTGCCCCGCTCTGGAGCCTGTGCTCCGCAACAGGCGAGGCCACCACAAGGAGAACCTGGGGCAGCTAGGGACGAGGAGCCCCCGAGTGCCACAACCGGAGGAAGGCCGTGGGCAGCCAGAAATAAATAAATAGAATTTAAAAAAGAAAACCTCTATTAAAAAAAAAAAAAAACCTCTCAGAATAGATAATACATACCCATGGCTTACAAACAGTGCGGGGGAAACCCTGTCACCAGGTCTGTGTGTCTGTCTGTGTGTCCATCCAGAGACATCCTGTGTGTGGTCTGTGTGTCCGTCCATCCAGAATCGTCTTTGGCAGACATGATGAGCTCTTTATTTTCGGCTGGCACAGGCAGGGAGGACCCCCGAGGCCTCACGTTGGTTCCAGGGGCTGGCTTTGTGGGCAGGTCCTCTCAGCTTGGGAGGCTCTCACCTGACCTCTCCCACAGAAGCTGGGGGTCAGCAGTGTCAGGGTTTAACCCTGGGCCTCTCTGCAGACAGGCTTGGCCTCTCGGCACAGACAGTGAACCAGACACACACGGGTGAACCTCGGATCCCAGAACTCACCAGGGTGGGTGGGGGCACTTGCCCCTTCCCTCTCTAGAACAGACCTGGCCATGATTCAGAGAGGCCAGCCCAGGTGAGCCTCAGTCTTGGCTTGGCCAAAGTCCACAGTGGGTGCTTCACACTGGCCCTGGTCCTAGTGCAGTCTCCACTGCGGCTTCCTGAGACGCTCCCGGAACTCCTCTCCCTAATTCCTGGACCACAGAAACCTGACAATAATAAAAGGATTATCTCTAAGGGGGAGTAATTTGTTACCAAGCAATGGATGGCAACCTACTCCAGTATTCTTGCCTGGAGAATCCCATGGACAGAGGAGCCTGGCAGGCTGCAGTCCATGGGGTGGCAAGAGTCGGATAGGACTTAGCGACTAACCTCACCTCAGTTCAGGTGATTACTATTACAGTAGATGTTTACAGGGCGGGGCAGGGCGGGGCAAGGCAGGAGACACTGCAGAGGTTTAGAGTTGCTGGTTTTCTTCGGATTCTCTGTTACTGTCACCTTCTCACACAGGAGAGTGATCCTGGGGCCTTGGGGAGTCCCGGATGCTGCATTTCCGAGTATAGACAGATCTAGATTCTTCTAAGGAGGGAGGCAGGGACTTCCCTGATGGTCCAGTGATTAAGACTCCAAGCTTCTATTGCAGGGGGCACGGGGAACTAAGATCCCACATGCCACGCAGTATGGCCAAAAAATAAATAAATAAAAATAAGGGAGGGAGGCAAAGAAGGGCAGTCCTCAGCTACAGGCTTCCTTGGCCCACCACGGATGCCTTTTCTCCTGTGGCTCAGACTTACCTCCATGCCTCCAGTCCAGGTCCTCTCCTAAGCACCATGCCTACACTTCTGCTTCTGGCAGCTTCTAACTACTCCGGGCTAAAATGACGTTCTTAAACTCAAGTATCTTCTACCCTCACAAAGCTATTCCTCCTCCTACGATTCCTATTAAGGGTTTTCTAAAGCACTGATGTATATGCAGATGACACCACCCTTATGGCAGAAAGTGAAGAGGAACTAAAAAGCCTCTTGATGAAAGTGAAAGAGGAGAGTGAAAAAGTTGGCTTAAAGCTCAACATTCAGAAAACTAAGATCATGGCACCTGGTCCCATCACTTCATGGGAAATAGATGGGGAAACAGTGCCAGACTTAATTTTGGGGGGCTCCAAAATCAGATGGTGATTGCAGCCATGAAATTAAAAGACTCTTACTCCTTGGAAGGAAAGTTATGACCAACCTAGATAGCATATTAAAAAGCAGAGACATTACTTTGTCAACAAAGGTCCATCTGGTCAAGGCTATGGTTTTTCCAGTGGTCATGTATGGATGTGAGAGTTGGACTGTGAGGAAAGCTGAGCCCCGAAAAATTGATGCTTTTGAACTATGGTATTGGAGAAGACTCTTGAGAGTCCCTTGGACTGCAAGGAGATCCAGCCAGTCCATCCTAAAGGAGATCAGTCCTGGGTGTTCATTGGAAGGACTGATGCTGAAGCTGAAACTCTAATACTTTTGTCACCTCATGAGAAGAGTTGGCTCATTGGAAAAGACCTTGATGCTGGGAGGGATCGGGGGCAGGAGGAGAAGGGGACGACAGAAGATGAGATGGCTGGATGGCATCACCGACTTGATGGACATGAGTTTGAGTAAACTCCAGGAGTTGGTGATGGACAGGGAGGCCTGGTGTGCTGCAATTCATGGGGTCGCAAAGAGTCGGACATGACTGAGTGACTGAACTGAACTGAAAGCACTGATGTGATGGCCTATCTCCCCTATTTTAAAAAATCCACATGCAGATTCATATAAATGTATATATACATACATATATATCCAGAATGAAATATGCAAAAAAAAAATAGTAATAGTGATTATTTTAGGTGGTTTTCAAAAGTATATTTTGTCCAGGTGTTCTGGTTAACCTCAGCAGAGGCAAGGTATAGATATATTCTTTTTATTTTATATTAGAATGTAGCCGATTAACAATGTGGTAGTTTCAGGTGGACAGCAGAGGGACTCAGAGGAGGGTGGTCTTAACCACCGAGTCTAAATCACCCCAGGAGTCGCTCGAAAGGAGATCCAGTCCCAAATTATGTGCAGTAATGACATTCATTTGTAAGCAAAAAGAAACTTATTGTTTAAAAAGTCAGACGATTGCAAGGTAAAGCCCCAGCCCCCCACCAGGCCACCCACGCCGGTGTCCCTTTCTGTGTCCTCTCATTCCTCCTCCTGTTGGTCCCCAAAATGCTCTCATGCCTCCCGGGCTGTGGTGGGTGTCCCACCTGTCCCAGCATGCTTGGGCCCCCATCCCAGACACAGCAGCACGTGGGGTCTGCTGAACGAACAGGTGGGAGGCATCACCCCGCATGTGACGGAAGTGAGGGGGTCCCAGGAGACCAGCAGAGGACGGGGTGCCGTTTTACTGCCTCTCCTTCCGCCTGCTCGCTGGAGATACCTGCCCTCGTCAGCTCCGTCCATCCTGGCCAAGGCGCAGGGTCCTTAGCACGAACGCCCACTTTCCCAGCGCCAGCTCTGTGTCCTGCGTGGAGACGTCCCGGTGCCACACGGCGCGCACCGACCGCTCCGTCCAGGGGAAGACCAGCACACGCACCGCGCGGCCGGTCTGGGCCGCCTCGTCCGCGCTCACGGCCTGCAGGCGCCGGCACAGCTCATCGGGCGGCAGCCCGTCCACTCTCACCATCACCATGTTGGTCTCCACGGCGGTGGGATCCACGGAGCAGACGGGGGACGCCAGTTCCTGGAGCCCTGGGCCCAAGTCCTGCGGTGAGTTGAGCCCAACCCCAGGACTCTACGGCTACCCCTATGACCCCGGCCTTGTCACCCAGGAAAGGCAGAGGGCAGCCCAGCCATGGTGGGAAGAAAGGAGGGAGCCTTAGTCCTGACCTGGGCAGACTTGGCCCTGCAACTTTTTAGCTGTGACCTTGGACACATTAGTGGTGGCTCAGACGGTAAAGAATCTGCCTGCAGTGTGGGAGACTAGGGTTCGATCTCTGATTTGGGAAGATCCCCTGGAGAAGGGAATGACAACCCACTCCAGTATTCTTGCCTGGAGAATCACATGGACAGAGGAGCCTGGTGGGCTACATTCCTGGTGGGCTTGCAAAGAGATAAAAACTGAGTGACTAACACTTTCTTTAGACAAATCAATTAACCTCTCAGTTTCCTCATCTGTAAAGTGGAGACATTGTGGGGTTGCTGTGAGGACTCAACCTAGGTTAAAGGCTACATTCTGCCGGATCTGCCAAGAATTACTGAACCCCACTGGGTGCCTGCTAGTCCAGGCCCTGCATGGGGTGTGGTCTGGTAAAGCCCTTGAGTTCCCTGGATCCCACCCCTCCTGGTTCGGCAGCTGACCTTCACCGACTTGAGTTGGAGGGATGCACACCTGCTGGGAACTTAGGCCCTGCTACAGGGGACCCGCAAGGCACCACCCTGGGGCCAAAGGGAAGTGGTGGGGTGTCCAGGCACCTTTGGCAAATCTCTGTGCATTCTGGTGGTCCCTCTGCAGCATCTCCTCGGCGTCAGCCAGTCCCACCAGGGCAGCTGCGGCCAGCACCCCAGCCTGGCGCATCCCTCCACCCAGGGCTTTCCGGAGGCGCCAGGCTTCTTCAATGAAGTCCTTGGGTCCCCCAACCAGGGCCCCCACTGGTGCACCAAGGCCCTGAAGGAAGAGAGGAGGCCTGCCCACCTGCCCATGGTGTGCATCTCTGTTCTCAGGGCTCGGGAGGGGGCAAGAGGGATGTGGAGGGGCAGACACTGTGGCCTCGTTAGGGGAGGGAGTTAGAGGACCCAGGGTGAGTAGCTGCCTTCCCAGGAGCCCCAGGACACAGCTCAGCCTCCTGCAGTGGGCACCTCCACCCTCCTGTAGCTTCCCTACCTTGGAAAAACAGAGAGACACAGAGTCACAGTGCTCCATGATGCGGGCCGGGGGCACGCCCAGAGCCACCGCGGCATTCATCAACCGCGCCCCATCCAGGTGGACACGGACCCCATGGCTTCGGGCCAGCAAGTGCACCTGTGGGCAAGATGCAGGTGGAGTCAGAGGGGCTGCGCTGGGGGGAGGATAGGTCTCCAAAAGGTCACTAGAGAGTCACTGGGCTTGTCTCTTGGAGGAAGCACAAGGGGTCTGCGTGGTTGGTGACCAGCTTGGCCATCTGGAACCCGAGCAGTCACTCTGGGTCTGGGCCCGGGCTGTCCTCTGTGAAAGGGGCTCAATGATAAGGGCTTTATCTCCTGTTTATGGTGGGCTCACTGTAGGCCAGGCCACGAACACCTCGTCCTGTCTAAGCAGCGCCACAGCCGCCTTGGAGGGGAGCCCTCAGCCCTGTTTCCCAGGTGAGGAATAGGTCTGCAGGGCAAGCTGGCCCTCAGGTTCTCTCGGGGAGCGTGGCAGCATTCAGCCCTCGCACTCTGGCTGTAAGACCTGGCCAAGCTGGTGCTGCCTGGGGACTCGCCCCAAAGGGCGGGTCTCTGCTCTTTGGAGGAAGGTTGGGGCTCTGGACACTCTACACTGGGCCACCATTCTCTTTGCAGCTGCACCTAGAATCACACCCGTGTCTCCCAGAGCAGTTCTGGCCACTGATAGGCACCCAGACATGTATCAGAGGAGACTAAACCCCAGCAGGGGACCCAGGGGACAGGAAGCCAGTAGCTGGCTAGCGGTGGGGGCAGAGTGGTGGGGCTGGGCCTACCTGCCGTAAGTATTCCAAGGGGAGGACCCGGCCCCCTGAACTGCTGTGGGTGTTCTCCAGGCAAATGAGCTCACAGATAGGATGGTAGGGGCTCCCAAGGCTCCGTGTGACCAGCCTCTCCAGGTCAGTCAGGTCCAGGGTGCCGTAGGGCAGGTCTGGGAGGGGGTGGGAGTGCACCCCTGCGATCTGCAGGTGTGGGGTGGGGGGTCAGAGGATAAGGTCCAGGTCCAGGGGTCCAACAGTACCTCCTACCCCTGTCTTGTCTGCTCCTCCCCAGCTCTGGGCCGTGGAGGCTTCCGCCTGAGCTATGGACCTGGGCACAGACGTCCCAGCGAAGTCGGGGAAGGATGGAAGACACCATGTTTGCTGTCCCTCCGGCCTGAGCGGCCGGTGCGCTAGGGGGCAGCTTGGTGCCGAGTGCAGCCAGCATACAGGCTGCCGGACTGAGCCCAGCCTGCCCCGGTGTGGTCAGTCTGGGAATGGCTCTCCTTCCTGCCTCCCCCAGAGAAGCCACCGTCCCAGCCATTTCTCCCTCTGCAGGTCCCAGCCCCGTGCCAGGGAAACAGGCTCCCACCACAACTGTTGAGCACCCTGTGCTGGCCCCAGGGTGAGAGGTGCTGGGTGCTTACCTGAGCCACCCCGCCCTGCTCATAGACATGGATGTGGCATTCGCGCCCCAGGAGGAGCTGGGAGCCCCGGCGCCGGCAGTGACACATCACTAAGGCAGATGGGGTGGGGGCAGTGTCGGGACCAAGTGCTGGCAGATGCAGCACTTCTCGGCGGCCGCACATGTGGGTCCAGGGGGTCCTCAGTCAACCCTCTGCACCCCACCTCCTCCTGGGCCATGTCCTCTCCCCGTTTGTCCCCATCCAGCTCAGCCAGGCTTGACCCTCAGGGCCACCGCCAGCTCCCAAGTACCTTATGCCAATTAGGAGAGAGCGCCCCTTTAAGACACCTTCCTGCCATGTGCTGAAAAGCATCCTACCAAGTCCACAAGTCTAGGCCTGTGGATTATTGGGCCCTGCACACTCTGTATCGCCCACCCCCCCATTCTCTGCAGCCCCCCTGCAGAGTACCTCCTGTAAGGGGAGGCCAGCCACAATGCTCCCCTTTGAGGGCCCAGCATCAGTCAGAGGGCACAGCATCAGTCAGGCCCCAGCAGGAAACAGAGGGCACCCACTGGGAAACCGGACTGCTTGATAAAGAGGCAATTTACAAAGGTGTGGCAGCCTGCAGGGAAGTCACAATTCGAGGTTGGGGGCAAGACCCCCAGGCAGGAAGGGGTGAGAGAAGGGTGTGGCTATGGGTTCCAGATGGCTCAGAGCCCCACTGATGTTGTCACAGCCCCCACCACAAAAGGGAAAAGCGGGGAAGGAGGGCCTGGAAGGCAAGTGGAGGTCGCCGCACGCTCACCAGAGATGAGGTTGGCCATGGTGTTTGTGGGCACGAACAGGGTCTGCTCCACCCCAAGCAGCTCCGCAACCGTAGCCTGCAGCTCTGAAGCAGGAAGGGATGGGGTGGGGCCCCATTAACAATGGCACTTTTCAAAGTCCTCTCCTAACTCACTCCTTGAGCCCCTTGTCTGGATAAGGACATCTTGCCCAAGGCTGTGGTGAGTGGCCGGTCGGGAGCCAGCCCCAGTCTTCCAGCAGCAGTCTGCGGTCTTGGTGGCTGCACATCTGGGTTCAGGGCCCCTCAGTCAACCCTCTGACCGCACCCCCCCCCCCCGCCGCCTCCTCCTGGGCCATGTTCTCCACCCCCCCCCCCCCCGCCCCATTGAAACTCTGTGGTTTGAACCCTCCTGTCCCACCCAGACCTCACACCTGTCTGACTTCCTTTCCCATCGGTCCTTTGCAGGTGGGGCCCTGTGGTTTCTCTGCTGACTTCCTCTCCCAGAACAGGAGGACTGGAGCCCTCAGGAGACTCTAGGGGGCTGGAAGGGGGCGGGGCTTCCGGCTCCTGCTTTAAAGCTCCCCTTCCTTTGCCATGACATTCAAGACTGATGGGATCGGGCCTCTGCCTCCCCTCCAGGAACAAGGGTGCGGTCCTACACCCCAGCTCCAGCCACATTGCCCATCCATATCCTGAACACCTTTCTCACCACTATGTTTCTGCCCTGGTGAGCCAGCTCTCTTTTCCCTGCCCAGGACTCGGGATGGAGCATTTCATTCATCTTTGAAGAGGTTCCTCCAGAAAGTCCCCCTTTCCTGTGAGTCCCATGTCTCCTTTCACACACCCCTGGCCCCCAAGGCACTCTCTGTGGATGCTTTAACCCCAGCACCTCCCTCACCCAGTGGGGATGACCGTCTATGCATCAGGCTACCTGCTGAGCAATGGGTCAGCATCTTTGAAGTTCCAGGCCAACAGTGGGTGTCCGCTGGATGCTTGATCAGCCCCATCATGACCTGACCCCACATCCAGGCCCTCAGGGCTAAAGTCACGACCCCACGACTTGCCCCTGGCACAGCTGATGGTTTGTACACACCCCAGCAATAGTAATGGCTCACTATGGCAACAACCCTCAAACCAGGGTGGGTGGCAGCAACTTTCAACCATCTTGAAAACACTTTCGAGGTTTCTAGAACCCACTCCTCTGGAGGAGCAGCCTGTGGAGAAACCCTTTTCTAGATGGGTTTTCTTTTGTCTTCATGTGGGAAGGTGGTGGGTGCAGGACAATAGCCAAGGGTTCCAGAGTGAGAAGACCTGAATTCGAGTCCTGCTTTTGAGCACCTGGCTTAGCTTCTCAAAGCCCTCCTCTGCAAGATGAGATAACACCCATTCTCATCGTGTCGTGGGGCCGCACTTCAGTGAGCACACAAATCGCCCGGCGATCCTGTTAACTTGCAGATTCTGGCTCCGAAGGTCCGGTGTGGGACCCGAGACTCTGCATTTCTAACAGGTTCTCGAGTGATGTGTCAGACTGAGCTGCAAGGGAACCGAGCGCAATGAACGGCCTGCAGCTGAGCCGCCACCCCGAACCCCTGGCCTCCGCTCCCACCAGCACCACGGACAGCGCCCTGGGGTCGCCGCGAGGACCCCCGGCTCCGGCCTGCACGCCGGGCTCACCGCGGACGGTGGGGTCCTCGCCGTAGTCGTCGTCCCCCACGACGGCCTCGGCCATGGCGCGCCTCATGGCCGGCCCGGGCTTGGTCACCGTGTCGCTGCGCAGGTCCACCACGTACGTCGGAACCTCCGCCAGGCTCCCAGACCTCCGCGCCCAGAAGACCCGCTGCCGCGGGGTCGCGGCCCGGGCCAGTCTGCGGAGCATGGAGGGGATAGTGCCGGGCCCCCCAGCCCCGATCTTCCTCGGCTGGATCGTAGCGGCAGGATTTCCAGACTTCGGCCGCGAATGACCTGGGCTGGCCGGAGGTCCCCCGCGGCATGCTGGGAGTTGTAGTTCAGCTTTCGTCGCGGCGGACACTGAGCACACTCCCGAGGCATCCTGGGAGTCGTAGTTCTGCTTTCGCCGCGTTCGGCTCCGAGCGAACTTGGGCTGAGGGAGAGAGAGGAAGGGTTGCGCTTACTCATGAAGAAACAAAGGCCAGGCAAGTTTTTATAGAGCAGACGCTCATGTGCCTTTTACCGTGTGTCCAGGACTGTCCCAGACACCTTACAAGTGTTAAAGCAGTTAAGCCTCCCAAGAGTTCTCAGTTGACAAGTGTTATTTTCACCCCATTTTACAGGTGGGGAAACTGAGACGCACAGAGCCAATGAACGTGCCTAAGGTCGCCTGGCCGGGAGCGTCCAGCTCTAACTGGACTGTGCTATGTTGCCCCGAAAAAAGTAGCTTCCCATTATCTACTTTTTTCAATACAGATTTATTGAGCAACTTTTTGGTGTCAGGCATTGTCTGGGTGCCAGGCAGAGGGATACAAAGATGATCCGACTTCGGGGGCATAATGAAGGTGGAATTAGGGGGTGACAAAGAGTCCCCTCCTCCGTACCCCCGTGCCCTTGGCTGGGGGGGCTGCCTCCACCCTGGGCCAGTGTCAGGGTGGGGGTGGGGAGTGGTAAAGTGCCCTGACTGACTCAATTCCCCACTTAGCAGGTGGGCGGTTTTGAACAAGTCAATTAACCTCTCTGTGCCTCAGTCTCCTTAAATGCAAAATGGGCTGTTATGAGGATTTGATGACTTAAGGGGTTTTTTGTGCTGAGTCTGGTGCCTGGCTGGTAGTAGATGCTACAGATGAGTGTTTTCTGTCTTACTGTTGCTGTTTTATTGTGGTTACTGGTCACAGCCCAGGGCGCTGGGGTTGGTGCTGCTGCTGTGGGGTGCAGCCCGTCTCCGCCTGGACTGGGCCTTCTGCAAGGTTGACTGTCCCTCAGCCAGGGAGGACAGGCCTCTCTCTGGGCGCCCAGCTCCACTAGTAGCTCCCCTTCCCCAAGTGTGGGCCACAGATGTCTCTTCCTCATGGGAGGATACCGGTCCCTAAGGGCTGAACGTGACCAGAAGAGGCACCCACAGCTCTGATCAGGGCAGCCCTCAGCACAGAGGACTCTGACACAGACCTTCATCGGAGCTCTCATGTGTGTCTGCTCCAGGTCAGGTCTGGGGATAGAGGAGAACAAAGCAGCTTGCCATTGGAGTTCAATTCTTTGGGATGCAGACAGGATGCTGCCTGTTGGCTCTGGGAAAAGCTGCAACAGGCCTGGCTGAAGCATCAGGGCAGGCTTCCTGGAGGAAGCAGTGATTGGCTGAGGTTTGAAGGCAGAGCAAGGTGTTAATCAGGCAAAGGCAGAGGGAGAGTGTTCCAGGCAGAGGGAACAGCTTCAGCAAAGGCTTGTGGTCAGAGGCAGCTGGAACATTTGAGGCCTGCAAGAGAAGGGAGTGGGGGTGGAGATGGAGTCCTCTCCCCTGTGCTTGCAGAGCCATCCTGAAAGGGCAGAAATCACAAGTCCCTGTAGGATCTGGGGCCCCAAGGACACCCATCTAAAGGGAAGGCCCACTCTCCTCCCCAACTCCCCCCTCGGTGCCCTGCGGCCCTGACCCACAATCTCCACCGAATTCCGGGCCCTGAGAAAACAAGCCCCTTATCTCAATGTTTGGCTCCAGCCCTTCTGCTGGGAAGTGGGGGAGGGGGGCGGGGAGTAGAGGCCTCTGTGGGAAGGAAGGGATGGACTGCGGCAGCGATGGTGGCTTTAGGGGGAGCAGGGAGAAGGGGGCAAACAGCTGGATCCCCAAGCACCTCCCAGCCGTGGCAGAGCCACAGAATGGCATTCTGTTTGCAGGCACTTAAACCTTCCCACCCACAACCTCCCTGCTAATCCTCACTGCAACCCTGGGGGAGAGGGAATAGGCGGGGGCCTCAGGGCTACAGGAAAATGCCACCTAGGTGAAACAGCTGGTCACCAAACTGGGCCTTTCTTCTCCCAGGGCAGGGCTGTTTCCTCAGCAAGCTGGGCTCTTCCTGGAGAAAGTTGGCCCCAAAAGAAGTTGCTTCTACCAGGTAGCCGTTTATCACTGCCTATCTTGTCCCAGGGCACCTGGGCCACCCCCTCCTTGCCCAGTGGTGGCTTCTCCAGCGTGAAGGGAGCAGGAAGCTTGGGCTACCGTGGGAGAAGGCTGGGGGCCCTCCATGGCCTATTTCTGAGGCCTCATCATGGGGGCTTGCTGTTGTTGAGTTGTTCAGTCATGTCTGACTCTTTGCAACCCCATGGACTGCAGCATGCCAGGCTTCCCTGTCCTTCACCATCTCCCAGAGTTTGCTCAAACTCGTGTCCATTGAGTCGGTGATGTCATCCAACCATATCGTCCTCTGTCTCCCTCTTCTCCTCTTGCCCTCAATCTTTCCCAGCCTCAGGGTCTTTTCCAGTGAGTCGGCTCTTCGCATCAGGGCCAAAGTATTGGCGCTTCAGAGACCCTCTGACCAAGACTTGGTCTCAGGGAGTTGTGTTGGCACACACATGTGTGTGAATGTGTCTACGTATGTATGTGTATATGTGTATGTTTGTGTGTGTATGCATGTTCGCATGCCCACCCAGGTATGTGCAGACTGTGCGCTTACATGTGCACATGTGTGTATACTTGTGGGTATATGTAACTATTAGTATTTGTTATGCATGTGTATAAGCACACCTCAAGAGATATTGCTGGTTTGCTTCCAGACCACTGCAATTAAGTATCGCAAAGTGTGTCTCATGAATTTTTTGGTTTCCCAATGCACGTAAGTTATGCTTACACTATGCTGTAGTCTTTTAAATGTGCAATAGCATTATGTCTAAAAAAATGTACATACCTTAATAAAAAATATTTTATTGCTAAAATTGCTAACCATCATCTGAACCTTCAATGAGTTGTAATTTTTTTTTTTTTTTTGGCTGCACATCATGCGGGATCTTAGTTTCCAATCAGGGACTGAACCTGTAGAAGTTCAGAGTCTTAATTAACCACTGGGCCGCCAGGGAAGTCCCAGTGAGTTGTAATATTTTTGTTGGTGGACGATTTGAAACATTTCAAGAATTACCCAAATGTGATTCTGAGACACAAAGTAAGTGTGTGCTCTTGGAACAATGGTGCTGGTAGACTTGCTTGATGCAGGGTTGCTGCAAACCTTCAATTTGTTAAAAAAAGAAAAGAAAAGAAAAGAAAAAGCAATATCTTCGAAGCTCAATGAAACAAGGTGTGCCTGTCTGTAAGTGTGTATGTTTGTGTGTGGGTGTGTGGGTGTGTATGGGCATCCCAGGTGGCGCTAGTGGTGAAGAACCTACCTGCCACTGTTAGAGACACGGATTTGATCCCTGGGTCTGGAAGATCCCCTGGAGGACGGCATGGCAACCCACTCCAGTATTCTGGCCTGGAGAATCCTGGCAGGCTACAGTCCATAGGGTCTCAAAGACTCGGACACGACTGAAGCAACTTAGCGCGCACGTTTGTATATGCCCGTGTGTGTGTACTGGTGTATACATATGTCTGTTTGTGTGCATGTGTCTGTGTGCGTCCCTGGAGTGTGTGAGATCCAGTCACCCTGTTGGTAAACTAAGGACAGTCTGCAGCTCCCAGACTAGGATGAGAAGCCAGAAGCCCCTGGTGCAGCCAGCATTGCTTGTCCCTCCCCAGCACCCCAGGTCACTGGGCTGATTCTCTTTTCTCCTCCTCAGCCCCCTCCCCAACTGTGAACCTGGAGGCCTGGGGTCCTCTCCTGCCTCCATGCAGACATGCCCACCTCACATCCACTGCCCTAGGTCAGGCCACATTGGGCTCCTACCCCTGCCCCTGCCCCTGCCCCCACCCCTGGGATGCAGCCTGCACCCCCCCCAGCCCCCCTCCCCCCCCCGACTCCCCCTCCCCCCCTCCCCGCATCCTCACAGCTGTCTCCCTCATACTGCTGCAGCCCTTTCTGATTCCCCGAATGCACTGGCCTCACTCTCACCCCGAGATCTTTGCACCTGCATGCCTTCTGCCCGGAAACCACCCCCTGCCCCCCAGCCAGTGGCACGTGTCTCTGGTTACCACCTTCTCTGTTTTCTTGTCTCAGCTGAGACGCTCCTTCTGGGAAGCTCCCTGATCCCCTTCCAGCAGGGAAGGGATGTGGCTCTCCTCTGGGGTGTCAGTAGGGTCCCTTCTCACTGCTGGCAGGTTTGGGGAGAGGCCAGGACACTCTTGGCCTTCGAGGCGTCCCGTGTGCCCAGACCAGTAGCAGCCCCCCAGTACTCCATGATTTCAGTTGAATGGATGATGAGGGGGACAATGGCCCAACTTCCCTGACCCCAGGGACCTCCATGCAATATGGACATTGTCGTGGGAGGCAGGGAGCCCTGTCGGGAGCTCTGACTGTGGAGGGCTGCAGGGCTCCTGTGCAGGGGGAGGCAGGAGTGGGTGAGGAACACATGCTGGGGAAAGCTGGAGGTCTCTGAGGTAGCCCCCTCCTGGCCCACTGGAGGTGTCTGTCCCGTGAGCAGGGTGAGGATGGTGGGCAGGTTTTCAGAGGAGTGAGATATGAGTCCTGGGGTGGCTGCCTCTTGAGGCACCCCCAGGCCCCCTGGCTCCCCTCCAGGGACAGGCTCTAGGGTGTGGGCGCACACTTGTGCGCGCACACACACACACACACACACATGCACGTGAGCCAAGTTCAATGTGCATATTCCTGTAACGCTGGGCCGCTGGCAGGAAGTGAGCAGTGGGGAGGCCGCTGCTGGGAACCCGGGGCTGGCCCCGCTGAGATAAAGGGAGGCCGCAGATTGGAGCTGGAGATAGCGGCTGGGGCCTGTAAACAGGTTGGGGAGATGTCCTTCCCATCGCATCCCCTTGGCCCTGAGCCTGCAGGATCC